ATCCTAAGGGTGAATTTAACAAGGCACACTAATCCATGACCTTAACATGTTTTCTCTGCATGGCTAACTAACAAAACAAGCTTCATACTCACACACTTGTGTTAGAGTACTGATATTCACACACAAGTAATTCTAACATCCCACTGGTAAGGTAATTGTAACCAATGGATTACTAATGTCTTCACAAGGATACTGTGTTAGTTTAAGCATGCATGGGACAGTCTTGCCATGTAACCAAAACATACAGTCAACTTCCCTTACTTCCCACAAAAGGTTTCCACAAAACCTTTTAAAGACTTTTTAACATCAAACCTGTTCAAATTGCAGCATTGAAAATTATTAAAATAATCTAAACTTTATTCTGTTTATCTGTCTAGGAAAGAAAACTATTCCTTTTAAAAGTAATTCACTGTAAAATTACCAATGAAAACAGAATCTTCAAGTAATTTGTGAAGGGGTTCTCTGCAAAAAAAACATTAGAATTTCCAAACTGCTAAACTGAAAAGACTTTTTCTCTTTGGTCCAGTGACAGAAAGAGGGTCAGGGCATGCACAGAACTTCCACACATACCCCCTCACTTTGACACACAGACTTCAAGTAATCTCCAGGAAAGAGCAGTGGAACCTGCTGCCAACTGACTGATCTGGAGAATCAAGTCTTACATTCATTAAGTTTTCAGTGCTCCCAGAATTGCCCAAAGGCCCAAAACCAGAAACATGCTCTTTGTATCTGCATGAGTCCCCATCCAGTGAATGGATTTTGGAGGTCCTTCAGTCACTGAGGCCCATCTTTCCTTCCCTCAAGTCTAGTTAATTCCTAAAGAAGAAAGCCTTCAGCATCCACTGCTGCTGTTCCTTTTCACAGTATTCTTTCAGCGATCACTGCACCTTGTGCATAACCCAGACACTTCTACTTTTACTCCACCTCTTTCCCATCACCCTCATTCCAGCTTCAAGGGTTTCTCTCAGGCTATTTGTCCTGTTACTCAGGTCTCAGAAAGGCTGTACCTGCTTCTTAGTACCTCAGCATCTTAGCTTTACCTACCAGCTCTGCACTT